ATATATATATATATATATATATATATATATATATATATATATATATATATATATATATATATATATATATATATATATATACTCTTTTGGCAAGTATATGCAATACTCTTCTAGCATACTTCAATTTCCGGTTAAGTCTTCTCCACTGATCTCTTCTTTTCACTTGAAGAAATCGGGAAATTACTATGGATACTTCAAGCAGCAAATAGTTTAGCGTTATATTTTTGCACTCACCTGACTTAAGACCTCCTCTCTATCGACAAGATCTATATCATATATGCTGGTTGCAGCTCTTAATCTTCCAGTATGTACTATATCTGGAGAAAGAGTTTCTAAATCATGAGCAGACTGCGTTCTGCTTAAAGCATCGCCATGTTTGAGCAGCAACAATGGATCGTGTAAGTCATCATGTAAAGACGTATGTTTCTTCCTTCTACTTATACCAGGTGAATACGAAGCATTGCGTTTAAGTTTCGGTCTGAAGGTGACTTGCTGGTCTTGGATTTTTAAAGCTTCAGAGCTAAACGACCGACCTTCATCCTGTTCTTCTTCGTCAACTCGAATCATGGATAAAATATCAATTCCTTCGTTCTTTAAATACTCCAAATTACCATAACCGAGAACATGTCCCTTTGGAAAGAAACGTGACATTATTTTTTTACAACAGAAAAGAAGGAAAGCGTGCAAATAATTCAAATAATTATGTTACTAATGTATGTGGACACAATAGGCAGTAAATTTTGTTACGCTAATAAAGATACTGCAAATTACTTAAGTACGGGTAACAAGAAAGATAAGAAATTATACGATAAAACAATCTCATTCGCAACAATACACAACTAGATAAGAGTTAATATTTAAGATGATATTACTTTTGGTCATTTGGTGTGTCTTAGGTGTTGTTTACATGATTCCGTTTTGCCGGGACGAGATAAGAGGCGGGGTAATTTCGACGTATTGAAATAAGTCACGGTTCATGATTTAGCAAAACTGCATTATTTTCCTTAATATACTATAATTAACAAATAGATTACACTTTCCCGTTGTCTGTTCAGTTATAGATACACAGTATGACGTCATATGTGGCAAGAACAAAAAATTATAGTATGTAATTGCAAACGAAAAGTTGTTCAAGCATCAATAATAATCTTCTTGAACTACGAGATCTTCTCGACAACATTTGAACTTTCGTTTAAGCCTAGTTGAAGAATTATTTCAATACATCAAAATGATCCCGCCTCCATGTAAACTCGGGGTGTGTCTACTCGAACCGGCTTCGCGTACCTCAGTTAGAAGAGCATTGAACTACCGAACAAACAGTCGCGGGTTCGATCACCACCGCGGTCATGAATGTGGACACACTCAGAGTAAGAGTAACGTCAATTTAAATAAATTCATCAGAGCACATACACCACCATAATTACATTCATGATTATATATAAGACATCATATACTTATATCGAAGGAACTAAACACGCGTAAAAATCCAATTGTTGACAAGCTGGAACAACTTTTTTCAAAAAGTCTGATGTCGTATGCACGTAACTAGTTGCTAACAAGTTGATGACAACAAGCTAGTAGCAACTTGTTATGAACAGCTTGTATTAGGCTTGTTGGGACAACTTGTCACAAGTCTGTTACCGTCATCAAACTTGTAACAAGGTAATAACAACTTGTTCAAGACTTGTCACAACAACTGGAAACAGGCAGCGCGAACACATCTTGATATCGGCGTGACAACAACCTTGTTGTTTGCAGATCTGTAACAACTTGTGCGTCAACCTACTTGACGACGTAGCTCAGTTAGTAGAGCAATGAACCAATCTCGACCGATTTATGCCATGCATGCTATCAACAAACGTATGCAGCGACTCAAGAGTGACGATTTGGTACGGTCTGTTCCAATGTCCACAACACAAAATGTCATGTTAATAGCACAAAACTGTTGAGGAAAGAGGAAAAATCTGGGATTGCCGACATCCCAAACGTTTATGACAGTAGTTGGAAGTGAATACAGCATGTTTTCCAAAGGGCGATTGACATCTTTCTAAAGAATGCACTACATCTACTCTGAATGCAGAAGACATTGCAGTGATCTGAGTGATTGTACAACCTTGTCAATACCTCGTTAGTTAGTTATTTCGTTATTTCTAAAATTACCCATGCAGGCTTTCGTTATTTCTAAAATTACCCAGATTACTACAATCTGTTCGTACATTTGAACATTACGGATGGTAAACTTGTGGTAAGGCGCTTAAAAGGCAATGAGCTATATCGTATTTTATACTAAATTCTCAAAATAGTTAAAGAAATCAGATGATGCATCTGATGGTCAAAAAACTATAGCTACGAATGACTATAGTATGCTGGCTGATAGCTTCTAGATCATGCAGATGGTATATACTGTACGATAGTGTTGTATTTTATATAGAACTAATTCAAAGTGTACTTATCTGGAACATCAACAGGTAAGTTGTTTACAACCGTACATTACTTGCGTTGCATGCATAAAACTGTAACTTACATAAACAAACGCAAGCATGCTCATGATCTTCACTCTACAATAAAAACCGATTACTTACGTGGTGTAGACATAATATCCGATCTGCTTCAGCTAAAAATTGTAGCTGGTGTGTGACCAGAATGCAAGCTTTGGATTTTAAAATACCACGGATACACCTTTAAAAGGCAAATAAGGCTAATTAATATAAATTTTGGATCGCAATTTGTCTGGAGATAATATATTTGAGTCACAATTTGTCTGGAAACACGACGACAAAAAAAACATGTCGACGAAAAATTACTGTTGGGTAAAGAGTACTGTGTGTTTGATGAATTAATGCTATCAAGATAATTGTATTGAATTCTCACTTGTTAAAAATATGACTTGAGACATGAGCATCAACAGCACTAAGCGGATCATCCATTAAATAAATATCTGCATCCATGTACACTGCTCTAGAAAATAGAAAATAGAAAACAGTAAACAAGTTAGTCCCTCTACACACATCTCCAAACGGTTCCAAATAATCGTTGTCTTTAAATATTCAAACAGACAATATACTATATAGCCTAGTATAAACGTAGCTAATCTCGAACAGTCTGTGCAAGTGTGGGTAGTGGCATTAATAAGAAAGCTGTGGATACAACTATGTACCTGAATAATAACAAGGAGAACTTCGCTCGAAACATTGAAGTTCTCCTTGTATTTTTCAGGCAGTTGTATCCCTAGCAATCCGCAGCTTTCTATACTATAGTTGAAAGTTTTAAAAGGGAAGTAGGTCCTTGATCAAACCCCCAGAGGATTTATATTTTTAGGGCACGTTTAAAAGACAGGGGAACTTATTGAAGGGGAGCTTCATAAAAAGGGATGACTTTCGACGATTTGCCCAGAACGGTTGTCGGGTTCTGCGCTTTCAAGTAACGTACGATATTAATTATTACTGACGTAACTCTATTCATTACACTGTATTACACCAGGGCGTTTATAAGATAGGGCGGCGAAACGAGCATAGGAGCCCTGATATATCTGTGTATCTGTGCCTGATATATCTATAGTCTGCGAGTTGCAAGTCTGCGAGTTGCGAGTCTGCGAGTTGCGAGTCTGCGAGTTTACGGTGGGGATTTATCGCCTCGAAAACGCTCACTTAAGTGTAATTTTGCGTGCTTTTGACGAATTGATCTTATATTTTACACTTTGACAGTTTTTTTCATTCTAAGAAATGCTCTCGTTTCACTTTTTCGAATTTTTTCAAATTTTGGCGGGAAAATGACGTCATCATTCCTTAGTTAATTTTTCTAAAATAAGTGGTTATATTATCTTCTAAACCGAAACAATAATTGAATTATCTTAATTCAATCAAGAGTTATAAAGGATGGAATTTTCAGATTTCGGCCATTTTGGGCTATTTTTTGTAACAAAATGGCCGAAATCTGAACGTTCCATCCGTTATAACTCTTAATCGAATCAAGATAATTCAATTATATTTTCGGTTTTGAAATTTACACAACATCTAATTTTTGAAAAATTAACTAAGGAAGTCTTAACACTTAAACAAAATATTGGCGCCAAAAGGATGACGTCATTTTCCCGCCAAAATTTGAAAAATTCGAAAAAGTAAAATTCGAAAAAGTGAAAAGTCAAAGTATAAAATATAAGATCAATTCGTCAAAAGCACACAAAATTACACTTTTAAGTGAGCGTTTTCGAGGCAATAAATCCCCACTGTAAACTCGCAGACTCGTAGACTCGCAACTCGCAGACTCGCATATTAGACAAACTCAAATATTCGAACACATGCGAGTAAAAATGGTGGAAGCTCAAGCTGAAATGGAAGAGGAAGGTTTTGATTTAATTCTAAGTTTAGACGACACCGATGTCGAAAAGGATGATAAAACATCTCCTGTTATCCGACAGTCGACTGATGCTTTCACTACCAATGAAGTGATCGCAGTTCTCGAGAGGATTTCTTCCAGCACGATAAAATCTGAAGCTGAAATAGCCACAAAAATATTGCGAAACACGCGCGGGAAAAAAGATTTGGCCACCTTGGATTGCTTTGTGTCTGTATTTGTCGAGGCTTTTAATAAGTGCAATGGTCGGTAAAGAAGTTTAAAAGCGATAGCGTACGGGCTATTAGGTTGGAGAAAAAGTTTTCCACTCTGAGAAATGACATAGAGTCCAATCTATTTGATGCTTGGAAACGGCTTGCAGGAGATGCCCATAGTCTTGAGACCTCTGTTGTGGTTTATCAGCATGTTCTTCAGCATTTCTGGAGCTGTGTGACATTACAGGGGAAGTCAAGTCAATCTGTTGAGGACGAATACCGTAGTGATGACGACGTTAGTGCTGATTTGGACAAGGATGAAGCTGAGCGAGAAGCCATCCGTCGACATGCTGGCTGGGCTGTGAAGCGTGCTAGAGATCTGATCAATTCTGGTGCAACTATTGTTTCGATCAAGAAATCAAAAGATGAGAATTCTCCAGTTACAGAAGTTACTAAGACATGTTTGCTTTCGTTTTTCGACAAATTTGGAGTCGATCTGCAGCAAAATACTGGAAAATATTTATTCATAGTCAATAATGCTATTTTGGAATTTTTTATTGTTTTGCACAAAGAGGTTGAAGATTTTATTATTAGGACTGGCATAGATAAAGATACTGTGGTCTTGTGCTTGCAATATTTGTCGTGCAATGAACATATTCGGGCAGAATGGAAAAAGGTTGTAGGTGAAAGATCTGGTGAAGAGGAAGCTGCAAGCATTATTATTCTGCAACAGATTGTTTCTATGTTTTTAAAGTCCAAGCAACAGATCATAAGGGAGCAGCTACATCTAAAACCCCAGAAAGAGAGCAAAAGTTTGAGAGCAAGCTTATTTCATGGCAAAAAAGGTGACTAGCTTTTATGCGATGTATGGCCAAACTATCTAATGGTAAATTGAGAGCAGTAGGTGTCTAACTTCAAAGTACCTACATTAAACAGAGCGAATAATGAATTTGTTTCTTTGTCTAAAAGTACTAATTAACACTACACACATACACTATATAGGATAAGACAATCTTGTGGTAAAATCGTGAGCAAGTGGGTGACAGTGTCGGTTGAGATCAAAAGTATAAATCGCTGTGTATAGTGAGTTATCCAACAACCTAAAGATATAGAAAAAACGTTGCGAGCAAATTTCCTATATCAAGAAGTCAGTTGGTAGTGTATAACATTATTTGGTAAGTCAGTGCTATTCATTCTGTACAGTGTATAATTTTAATAACAATTTATTATTTGCCCTGAAACTTGTGGAAACCTTGGTGAAATTGTGCTAACTTCTCACAGCAACCAAGTTGTATGAGGCTCAAGGTAGACGACTAACCTTTAGAGCCCTAAACACAGCTTGTGCAGTTATAATTTCTTAGGGAATGTAACTTTAACAAATAGCAATAGTTTCGCCATGGTTTAAACAAGTTTTTTCATGAATTAGATCTCATATTTCAATGTACCATTCAACTGTTTTAAATATGCTATTGTCATTTCTTCTTCGTGGAAGTTTGCAGTCTCCCTCAAAGTATGACATTGTTTCCTCTAGTTCATATACGTTGGTCTGCTTCTTTCCCAATGCTTTTGCTGTTTGAAAACAACTGTACCCATTAATGTTGTATGCATACACATAGGCAGTCATATTTTGTGTGCCACCACACATTTGTCTCTGACATGAGAAAAAGGACTCCACAAAGTCTTGATTAAGTTTTCCAGGTATTAGAAATAGTTCACCATATTCTTCTTGAAATTTGTCACTTTCCATGAACTTTAGGAGTCCTTTTAAGGCATCTATGGTAACCTTAAAAAACAAATATAATTTATAACTCATTACTTTCCATAATTAACAAAATAAATAAATCTTGGCAGTTTTGAATCTACATTAATTATATGTAACAGGGTTCGAATTAATTCTGAAAAAACGGTTCATGAATTAATTTTTTTTATTTTAACGAAATTTTAAGGAATTTTCAAGGAATATTATGTAATTGGAAGTTAAAAAGTGGAAGCACTGTAATTTTTAAATATATAATATACATCACAAACTCGCAAAGAAATAGAATTTTGGGTGGAATTATAATTTAACAACAATATCTTCAGAATGTATGATTCTCCATCACATTTACAAAGAACTGAATTTATTATTGTATATTTTTATCAATTTGAGAGACTTTTAATTCGTGATTTTGATCAATTTCTATGAAATTGGGTTCGTGAAAAATGAAAATTGATTAGTGATTCACAAACCGTTATTTCGAACCATGTGTAAGTAAAACTGGGTCCTACCATTAAATCAAACATTGTTTGCCATGATATAAAATGTTTTGCTTGTTCAGCTTTCTTCTCTGAAATGGTAACCAAGCTTTTCTGCCAGTCCATAAAGTATTTGACAACATCATCTAGAATGTTCATTTCATTACAGTTTGATTCTCTTAATGACTTTGAAGAATTTAAAACATTCCAAAATTTACTGCAAACAGAAATGTATTCTTGTGTTGCAGCAGTTCTTTCGTTGTCAGATGTTTTCATTTCATCAGCCACTTTGGAAGACAGTGTTTGCACTGCTAATTTCACTCTCATCTTGCTTAAATTGTCCAGGTTGATGTGTGAACAACGGAGATCAGTGACATAAATGCTAGTTAACCTTTCCCGATTGTAAACATCGTTGACATGCTCCCACAAAATATTTTTGTCACCATTTGTCATTTTCCTTGTAAACCTTTTGTTTTTTTCTTTGAAGCCACTGTTAAAAATGTTGTTTCGTAATTTCTTCATTAAGTGAGGTGGGTCGGACATAAAAAAGATAGGTTTATTTGTAAATGGATTAGAGCCTTCTGAGTTGAATTGATTATTGGTGTTCATTGTGCAGAAATTAGTCCTGTTAGTTGATGCTCCATCACAACATACCAGGATTATTTCAAATCCATAGCTATGTAATAGGCTAACACCAAGCCAAAACATTCTATTGATCAGAACAGCTGTTGCACCTTTAGTTAGGAAATAGGCACATGGAAAATCAAACTTAAAAAATATACTTCGGTAGAAAAATTGAAGGACATGTGTTGCCAGACTATCTATTGGCTTTGTCTGTTGGTCTTTCTCTTCAAGTATGTCTATTAAACCAATTAGTTCCCAAGAACTACTATCAAATACAAGTCCTTCCTTGATCTTAACTTCGTCAAAAAATAGTCCTCCTAATTTTCCACGCTTTGGTGCTTTCATCTTCTCAATTTGTTTTTCATATCTTGTAATGTTCCGGAGTGCCATCCAGATTGAGGAGAATTGTAATTCTTGTAATCTGAGAGGGTCCTTCCACTTGGTAATCGAAGGGCTCCAGATGAACGCATTCCTTCATACGCTGAATGTGATTTAGAATACATTTTCAAACACCATTGGATTATCAAGGGATGCCATCTCATTTGTTTTGAGGGGGTATTTAAAGCTGTTACTTGATCTTTTAATAATACTTCCATCAATTCATCTTTGGCATAACCTGTGTGTTCCCTTAAATGATTCTGGAGCAACTTAAGTTTTGCATAGTGCTTGTCACATGTTTCCCATGCACAATGGTACCTTCGATGTATTGGTGCAATTGAGGCTGTGTCGATTTTTTCAATATGCTGTTTGGCATGCTCATATAGCAGTTCCACATTTTCAAATTGCTTACCACATTCTTGCCATCTGCATACAGGA